GGCCCGTTCTGAAAAGTTTTCCTTTAGATACCTAATGTATTCATATAGAATTGATCGTATGATATCCTATGAAAAATGTGCGCAAAACAGTTCATATGATATTCTATAAATTTGTGCCCCACAAATGACCTTACATCCTAAACATATAGTTACATAATTAGCGTAAAGTTACAGAGGTTAGCTTTAGACAATAAAAGTTACTGTGGTTAGGGTTAGGAAAAGAAAGAATGATGAGGATGTATCTTTAAGGACTCAAAGTTTACATGGATCCAAACATGGGACTCCATCAACCACGGTGTTTTCATCCTCTTGGGACCATGAATGTCACATATTAGTGTCTGGATCAACGTAGTCTCTATATACAGACTCTACATTCAGTGAATGTAGAGTCTGTAGGCAAACCCCGGAGATCTTGCCTCCGGAAGACAAATCACGTTTGAGCCGGCTGCAGTTGTTGCCAGACGCCGAATACAGCCGATGGGTTCCGAGAATGGGATCAAAGTGGTGGACTGACGAAAGGTTCAACATTCCCAGCTATAAAGCTTGCTTGTTTTTTTGTTTTTTTCTCCATTAAATGTAAATGATACATTAAATGTTGAGAGATATCTGATCTACCATTTTCTCTTACACCCCTTAAAATCCAGAGGACCTATGTAGCTTTGGCAGCCACCGCTTAGGGTCGGTATGTCTAATTATGGCAATTTGGGAACTGGTTGTATGTTCCTGGCTAAATGCAGGCCTCCAGGTCTATTTGTTCAAAATTTCATTAACATTTTTTTAATGAGTAAAAAGTAGACCTGGATAAATGGGATCAAAGTCATACTGTCATATAGTACTGTCTAAAATCGGCATTGCAAGGATATACAGGATTTCCACTTTGAATTGATATTGTAAAAAGTTTAGGCACAAGGAGTCCTTTATGTGGAACAAATCTGTCATTTATGCTCCTTTTCCACCGAAATTAACATGTATATGCAGGTTTTTTAAATGCAGGAAAACCTGCAACAAATAGGCAATAGGCTCCTTTCCCTTTGCCAGAAGTTGAGTATGCCTTTCTGTTTTTTATTTTTAATTTATTTATTTATTTATTTATTTATTTATTTTCTTCTGGTGTGTCACATTCGATGTCACAAACATGATAGAAAACAGGTTAGTAAACAGCAGAAAGTAGCATGAAGTCGAGTGAAAAGATCACAGTGGTTACTTCTTTAAAAATTCTGTTACTTATTCATAGGAGTGTGGACCCAAGTCACATGATTTGGACTAGACTCAGAGTCGAGTCAGTGTGGGTTGTACAGTGTGACATATGTTGCACGTGCGATGTAAAAAAATGTTTGTGTGATGAATTTATTTGCCTAGTAGCATGTTTTTTTCTCATAAAATCTGACAGACATGAGCAATGGCTCATCGTTATCCTACAAACAAAAAAAAAATCGCTAGTCTACATGATAGTTGTAGTCTACTGTGATAACGACCATTCCTAGTATCCTGTATATCCAACTACTATTCCCACAATTCCTGTGCAGTTACCTCTAGCCTCTCCCATCATCACTTCACTTCAGCAAGACAGTGGTGACAATGAAGAGATATTTTCAGCCCCTCAACAAAAACCCCAACCAAAAAGAGAAAAATCACGAAAAATATGCAATGCGATAAGTCGGTTAATTGCACGGTAAATTTAAAGGGAGACGGTAACTTTTCTGGCAGCGCATAATTGCCATATTCATGCATGTTTGTTTTCCTTGTCTCTCTCCACCAAAGAGCCTGGACGACAAGAGCGTTCACTGCCGTGCATCGTCTGGCAGCCAGGTGAGTTGGTTCATTAGCGTAATGAGCGGAGGGAAAAGGGAAAGCTCTTGTCATCGAGTGTCTTTGTCTCTGTAGGGGAGGCGGGGCTATGGGCTACATACACAGAGACAGTACGATCTTCGTGAGGGGAAGACGAGGCGGAGAAAAAAAACAGAGAGTTGAGCGTAAGAGAAAGACAGGGAACTTGTTCCTAAACCAAATGCCATGGCCCCTGTGTGGGAGTGTTTCGGATTTAAACCAAATGACAGAGGGGAGCCCAGTAATTTGGACGAGCCGGTGTGCCAGGTTTGTTCTAAAACCATCTCAACAAAAAGAGCGAATATGACCAACTTAACTGCACACCTGAGAATGAGAGACTGACAGTCTATTTTTATGTATTTATAAGGTCTTTATTTATTTATTTTGGTATTTTTACGTGTTATTTCAGATATTTAAATTTTCTTTTTTTGCATTCATAAATATTCTTTAAAAGGGTGTACTTGCATCATTATGCCTTTATTATCATTATATAAGTTTAAAAAAAACAAAATTACAACAATAATAAAAATGGTCTTAAAAGCACAATATTACGCATATTGTCGCTTATCGCAGTAATTTCTGATGCAATTAATCGGCCAGCAAAATTTGTTATCATGACAGGTGCTACAAACTTTCTGGCCTGTGATACAAAATTATCACCCTCTGTAGCAGCAGTGCTATGGGCTAAAAAAGTTAACATACAGCCCTGACTTAAGACTGGACTTGAAAAAGCAAAACAGACTTGCAACACAATCTGAACTTTAACACCAGTGACTTCACTTAGACTGTAGCCTTTTGACTTGAAAATACTTGATAACTTTTCTCAAGCCTGACGTGTAAGGTCAGCAATGTCTTATCAAAGAACTCTTTTTAGCCCCTTTTAAAATAGGAATTGTGCAAATTTGCAGGAAAGCGCAGTCAGTCTTCTTTCAACAGTGGCAGCATAAAAACAAAATCGGGGAGTGCAGTGAAATGCCGCCTACCTACTTTTGTTTATACAGAATGTGCCTTTTTCAGGGCAATGGGGGGCGTGCCCCAAATGCTCTGCTCTGACAAGTCAAAATATGGCCAGTCAATACGGCCCCCTGCCGCTCCTGCTGTTGTGGTCGTTCACTTTGTGAAACTTTTTCTTCACATTCTTTAACTTAATAATGACTTGTGCCTTGCTCCAAGGGAAGCCACGTCTGGTCAGTTCTCTGCGATTCTCTCGTAAGTCGGCCCGTCCTTCACTGTTCCCATCATTTGACGGTTAAGGGCCTCTTCATTTGCGAGGGCAAGGAGGGCGAGCAATTCCTTGTCTCCCCAGTTGTCTGTTCCTTGTCTCCCTCATCTTTACAGTGCCTTTCAGGTTTGCATTTCCCTCTTGCTATTAGCTGCTCATTCCATCTATCAGCTGTTTCCTGTTAGTCCACCGTCAATGGGTTGCACGTGCAGCGTCATCAACAGCTCCTCCTACAAGTCATCAACAGCCCCTCCCGTGGCAGCAGGGCGCCTCGTTCTTTTTAAACCAAAATGTTCCGGCAATATGTTTACCCCTAGGCGGCGGAAAATTGGGCACCTCGGATCAACTCGCCAAACCGGCTCTGTGTGTCTCAACGCTCGCAGCTTGCCGGCAAAACGGCCCGACATTCACCAAAAATCTGGCAGTGTAAGAGGGGCTACTGTTTTACATCGTTCACATTTGCATTACACAGCAAGAGAGGTCAGACATAAACAAACTTTTTTTATGATTACGTTTAGTGGTACTTGTTTTAACAAACTTGTTTAACACATCAATACAAATTTTTAAAAGCATTAATGATTTTTGTAAATTTCATATATTATTACTCTAATGGCAGGACATTTGCTGAAGAGCACATTATGGCTCAAATTAGGAGTCGAAACTAAAAGTTTAGGACTTGGGACTTGATTTGACGCTTGTCAGTCTTAATTAAGGACTTGACTCAGAACTTGCCCGTCTTGACTTGGGACTTGGGACTTTCAGTCTTGACGTGGGATGTGTCTCTGAACTTGAGTGCAAAGTCTTGAGACTTACTAGTGACTTGCAAACCAGTGACTTGGTCCCACCTCTGCTTATGCATTCTCTCTTTCAAACTCGATGCCAACTGACTTGGAATGATGCTGCTGAGATAGAGACGGACAGAATCTTTGGCTGAGATAAAAAACAGTGGCAGAAGTAACCGAGGGAGTCATAGCATTGCATAGCACTACTTTTTAAATGATTATGTCCAGTCACACTTGTTTTCACAAACATGTTTACAAAAGAAATACACTGAAAAAAAAGCATAAATGATTTTTGTAAATTTCATATATTATTACTCTGTGTTAAAATGGCATTACATTTGCTGAAGAGCTCAAAACTCAAAATCTAGGACTTGGTTTGATTTGAGACTTGCAAGTCTTGATTTGGGACTTGATTCAAAACCTGTCAGCCCTGACTTGGAACTTGACTCAAGACTTGTAAGTCCTGACTTGGGACTTAACCTGGGACTCCTCAGTCTGGACTTGGGACATGACTTGAGTGCAAAGACTTGAGACTTACTTTTGACTTGCAAAACAATGACTTGGTTTCACCTCTGCTTTTTCAGTGTCTCTTTCAAACTGACTGACTGACTGATTTGGAATAATGTTTGAGTGCTGCTGAGACAGAGATGGACAGAATTTGTGACTGAGATAACGAACAGTGTCAGACGTTTCCAGATGAGTCATAGCATCGCATAGCACAGCTCTATTTAATAATTAAGTTCAGTTGCACTTTTTTTTCACAAACATGTTTAACAAATAAATAAAAATTTCATATATTATAACTCTGTATTAAAATGGCATTACATTTGCCGAAAGTACATTATGACTTGTTTAGGACTCGAAACTCAAAGTTTAGGACTCGGTGCCGACTGATTTGGAATGATGTTTGAGCGCTGCTGAGACAGAGATGGACAGAATTTGTGACTTGATTCAAGACTTGTCAGTCTTGACTCAGAACTTGACTTGAAATTTGCATGTCTTCACTTGGGACTAGACTTGGGACTTGTAAGTCTTGACTTGGGACTTGACTCAGAACTTGCCTGTCTTGACCTGGGACTTGACCCTGTACTTGTAAGTCTTGACTTGGGACTCAGCCTGGGACTTGTCCGTCTTGACTTGGGATTTGACTCAGAATATGTCAGTCTTGACTTGGGACCTGGCTTGGAACTTGCCTATTTTGACTTAGGACTTGAATCTGAACTTGAGTGCAAAGACTTGAGACCTTTTTCCACTGCTGATCGGAGCTGGAGCAGACTTGTGACTACTGCAGAGTCATTATCCCGGGAATGAACACCCAACCTTTAAACTAAAGTAAAAATCCAGACGTTGGTGGGTGTTAGTTGGTGTTTTGTCCAATGAGAGAGGAGCTTTACACACCTGAAATAGAATCAGAAAGACTCATCTAGGATTCTTAAAGAGCCCAGGAAAATCAAGGCGCCTGAGAAGAGGCACAGCACAGACAGATAGTAAGTACAGTAGATTAAGTATCCCAGGCAGGGGGATATAGGACAGTAACGTGACACACCAAGGGGTGGCCACAGAAAAAAAGATGCATGAGAGAGAGGAGTAAATCAAGCTCAGACCAGACAAGTCAATTAGCAGAGAGAAAGATTAAAAGTGACTGCAACACAACCACCATCCCCAACCTTCCTTTACAACCCCTCTCTGCCTCACCTCCCAGTCTTCCCCGCCCTGTCCCTCCCACTCTCCCACCCACCCACTTTTACCCAAACACCCCCAGCAGCACTTGGGATGCTATTTTTTGCCACGCTTCACTAAATAAGGCCGTGGAGCATGGCTGCGCGGGCGGGCTGGTGGAGGGGTGCTCGTCTCTGGTTCTTACCTTGGTATAAAAACCCTGGGACGGTGGGGGTTTCCTCTGATCACACTCAACCTCTTGCCTGCTCCCCCCTCACAGTGTTCTCATTCGAATTTTGCTTTCATCTATTTTTTTTTTTTTTTTTTTACGCCAATACACAAACACTGCCTGTGAGCAGTATCACTTGACCTTTTATCCCAGAACCTTTTTTATCCTTACAACTTGATTTCTTGATTTTTTTTTGTAGTCTTTCTTTCATCTCTTTAATTTTAAGGAACTGCTTTTACCAACCGCTGGACGACATATCGGGAAAGTGACTGAGTGGAATATGGGGGCAAAAGGACAAGAAAGACAGGAAAGAGTAAGAGATAACTGAGTTAACTCTCAAAAGCTCCCCATGTTACTGTTCCTTTTTTTTTTTTTTTTACCAATCTTTTTCATTTTTTTTTTTGCCAGCTAACTTTATACCTCCCTTCTTTACCTCCCACCATGCTTTTTCCTCTCCTTCCCTCTTTCCTTCCTGCACCCTCCCTTCCTTCATTTTCATCTTTTCCTCTCCCACATTTCATCTTCTTCTCTATCCTCCTTTTCCCCTCTCATTCCTGTCTTGAAATCTTCTGCTTCCTTCACATTCCCATTTTTACTTCAGTTCCCTCTGTTTTATTTCATTCTTTCATCTCCATTATTTTTCCTGTTTTTCTCACCCACTGTCTCCCTTTACTTACTCTTTCATTCTCTCAACCCCTCCCTTCCTCCCTTCCTCCCTCCCTCCGTCCCTCTTCCCGATTTGTCCTTCAGCTCTGTCAGCACTCACTATCTCGCTCCATCTCCTTCTCTGGCAGTCTGATCAGCTGTCTTCCTTCTAACTTTACATGGCCTGGTGTGGTGTGGAGGGACGGGCAGCTGCCGGCTGACGCATTTCACTGCCCAGTCATCACTTCAAATCGAATCCTCTTACACAAAGCTCTGTGCTTTTTATACTGGCCACTATTTTTGCTCTCTTTTCCACCTGCACGGGGGTCCTGTGATTTTTTTTTTCTTTCTTCTCTCCTGGTTTTTTTCCCCCTCCTCTTCCTTTTCCCACCTCATCCAGTAAGAGAGAGAGAGAGGCAAGGCAAGTCCCGTGACCCTCTTCTTTTCTCTCCTCTCCTCTCTTTTCACTCCTCCTCTCCTCCTCCTCTTCTCCTCTCCGCAACCTTAAACTCTCCATCGCTGAATCAGCTCCCAGGGAGGAGAGACTCCGCCTGCAGCGACCGCTTCACTCCGCATGGGCCGTCATCCCTATCTGGATCACCTCTGCTTACGGTAGGTGTGGAAGTGTCTCTGTGTGTTTAGATATTTGTAAAAAAAATTGTGTGTTTACTCACCGCATTTATTTTTGAATGTGTGCCTCTGCGTGTGTGTGTCAGTGTGCTTTGTCCCAGCCACCTTCACTCACACACACATACACACACACACACACACACACACACACATACAATACAGTTTTTTTCTCATCAGCTGCTCTTTTAGAAAAACACACTGTGAGTTAGGGAGCTGGAAAGAGTCTTCTTATTTATTTATCACTCTACTTCTTGTTAGAATTGTTGTAGCAGAGCTTGTGATTCACGTGTTGGCAAAGAACTGTCTCTGCACATTGGCATGGGGTTAAAAGGTCAAGGGTTATCTCTGAGGTGTTCACTCTGGAGTGTTTCTAATCAGCTGGTACGGCTGTGTTGATATTCAGTGGAAAGCATTTAGAATAGTAATGATAAGCAGCTCAGGGCAAACTGCACATTATCTCTTGTTATGACTTAAAATGAGACTGCCTGATTAAATAAAGGTTATTATGCATTCGCACAGACTGTAAAACGAAGTAAGTAAGTTGTCAGATAAAGGTAGCAAACTTAGCTTGTTGCCATTTTTTGCAGACTAAATATATTTGAATTATTACCCACATACAGTGTCCTTCGACGTATACATATCTCTTTAAAATTAAATTATTTTTCCATTCACATGCATTTTATTGAGAAGCAGATCTGCAGTTTTTTTGTAAATATTTGAGGGAGCATATGGGCCACATAATGTTACATTTGTGGTGTAGATATGTATGGTGTTGGACCAGTGCAGTGTACTATATTTGCCTGCAGGACAGGTGAGATTTATTAGCACAAACACCACATGAGTATGTTCTAATGTGCACCGGTGTTAAGCTCACCGGGACCTAGGCTCTATCTATAGACGGGACACACACATGTGTCACTCTCCTGAGAGAGCGAGAGAGAGGTTTAAAGTAGGAGCAAGGTTCTAAAAGTGTCGTGCATATGCTCCCATCCCTCTGTCTCGTCGCCTCTCTCTCTCTTTATCTCTCTCTCGCTGCCCGGGCTAGTTTTAACCAGTTAGCAGATACCAGGGAGATCAGCGGTGGTCAGCTGTCTGTCAAGCATCCAGAGCCTTGACAGGCTTCACTGTGAATTGCTGGAGGTGGGTGAGGTGTCGGGTGTCCCAGCCCGGCCCGGCCCAGCCCTATAGGAGAGCGGTTATAGTACACACGCAGCTGTTTGAAGGGAATCTATCTGTCTTTCTGTCTCCATCAACCACAGGGTGTGAAACTTAGCTTTAAATGGTGTTAGCTTAACTGCTATGAATGTTGAGAGTATACAGAAAGGTGTATAAGAGGAAGAGGATTTATATTGTTATCTGTTTCCGACTGATTTATTGGGATGAAAAATGCCTTTCGATACTGCACCCCATTGTAAGGATTACAGAAGTCACACCAGATGTTGGCAAATTCCATCCACTTCCTGCCGTATGAGCTGTGTATCACAGTGCAGTGCGGGTGCATATTACATGCTGCCCCTTATCTTGCAATCTACAGCAGTTGGCTATTTCTCCCTGGAGAATTGTAATTCTTGCCTGGAATATTGGGACGGTGGTGGCGTAGAGGCCAGAGTGGATAGGCAGCTTAATTCTTTGTAATGTGTCTATGTCTAGCACCGGGGCTGGAGTGTGTCTGCGCGCTCGCGAGGGTGCACGTCAGCAAAGCCCCCTCGTTTACCAGCCCCGGCCGGTGATTTACAAAACCTTTTCCTTCCATCGCTGGGAGAGAAAAGAGGGGAGGAATGAGAGAGAGAAGAGGACGAGTGTGATTTATGGAAGAGACTTTTAGTTTAATTACTGGGCAGGCAGGGCTGATGTGCACAGCCCCCATGGCACTGGTTACACAGTGGTGGGAACACACAAAGGGGCTATTGGGGGGCTACAGAGTATGACATATTCATATGCGGATGTAGTTGATACACTCAGGCAATTTGTATGTTCAAAGTGCAAGAGTTAAATTATGTAGCATGGAAAAGCAATATACAGTAGCTACCTGTGCAGTTAAGTGAATATGCACAAACACAAGTGGAAATCACAGAGCTGCTTTTACAAAATATCCATTTTCTACTTCACTGTGGAGCCACACACATATAGAAAAATGTGTCTTTTGTCCTTTGCATGTAAGAAAATAGAATATTGTGCTGTGTCAACAGTCCAGCCTCAACGTGTACTTTCATAGAGATTTGATTAGCTGTAATTGTCATTCAAGGTGAAAGGTTGACAGCCAAAGACATAAGAAAGACTTCCTGATATTGCAGTTTGGCAATGCAGGTGCTTCCAGCAGCAGTGCATGCTGGGATGTCTATATATCTTAACCAGTTTATATATCTTAACCTGCCTCTTGTATAAGTGGTATCAAATATTTTAAAGGGAGGACCGGTAGGAAAATTGTAACACAGTAACAGCTGTCCACCCAGCATTCACACACACACGCACACACACACACAGCCGCACAAAGGAACACACGCAACACACACATTCCCAATAACCCTTATGCGCTTCCTACTGCTCCCACCATAGGTTTTCTTAACGCCTCTCTCACAGCCTTCATTAGATGCCTGACGTTAGCAATGGTTCAATTCATTAAAAGCGCGACTCAGCCTTTGTGCATTTGCCTATAAATTGGTATTGATCTCTGAGAGGACAGGGAGGGGGGTGGGGGGTGGGGAGGGGGAGACAGCAGAGGATGGTAGGTAGGTGTGTGTGTGTGGGTGTGTGTGTGTGTGTATGGGATTGGGGGGTTGCTTGTGGATCAGGGACTGAGGCTAATGGGAGGGGGCAGGGGGTCTCAGGTGAATGGGGTTCACTCAAGCAACAAGGGCAAGTCAAGACACACATATAAACACACACACACACACCACGCACACTGACACACATTTACAGATCGTCAGATATGCACAGTAGGTCTCACACACACACACACACACACACACACAGACATATTGACATTCCTGCTCTGGCTGCTCCCCCCAAACCTGTCCACGTGCCACGCCACATGTGCCATTCAACCTCATCATCGCTGCCGTCTGCTCAGCGTGGGACTGGAACACTACTGTAGTTTGACTGGGAGGGTGGGAGAGTGTGTGGTGTGGAGTGTGTGTGCAGGAGAGAAAAAGAGAGAGAAAGAGACAATGCGAGCACATGGTATATAGAGGGGAGTGGGCAGTCAAGGGGAGACTGCGTAGCATGGTAGCCTATAGAGTGCATGGGACAGTGTGTGTGAGAGAGATGAATGGCACAGAGGGGAGAGAGAGGAAAAGAGAGGAATTGCTCTCAGAGGCGGAGGACCGGTGGGACGAGCGGCTGTGCGCCGGACTAAAAGTTTTCAGTGTGAGGAAGAGGGAGAGATTAAGGAGAGGAGAGAGGGAGAGAGAGGATCAGAGTGAGGAGGGAGAGAGAGTGTGTGTGGCTAAACAGAGAGAGAGAGAGAGAGAGAGAGAGAGAGAGAGAGACTGCAGAGGCAGCAGCTGGGACACAGACTGAGAGAAGAGAGAGCGAAGCACTTCTTCTTCCCAGTCTCCTTTTCTTCTCCGCTCTCGCTTTATTGCTTCTCTCTTTGGTGCATCGGCCCAGCTGAAGCAGGGGGGGAGGAGGAGGAGGGGAGGAGGAAGTGGGGGCAGGGGGTGGAGGTAGAGGAGGGGGGGCGGTTCTATCCAACATCTGCCTGTAGGTAAGTGCAACATCTCCCTCATTTCCCTTCACCCTCCCCTCCTCCTCCTCTTCCTCCTCCCCACCTCACCCCTTTCACTCCACCGCTGCAGCTGAACCTCTAGGCGTGACACTCAAGGTGAATCGCGTGCTGTGCGTGTGTGTGTGTGTGTGTGTGTGTGTGTGTGTGTGAGTGAGAGAGAGAGAGAGAAACTGCTTCATAATGTACAGTATGTCAAAGCAGAGCGGACACATGGTGGCCAGACATTGTAGTTATGCTGTAGTATTGCAGCATTTTAAAATATGTGTTCTTTCAGCGGGAATAGGGGGAATTTAAATCTTTTTTTTTCTCTGTGACAGTTCAGGTGTAAATTAATCTGCGTGATCTGGTGTTATTCTGTGATTTGATATGACATGGTGGAAATTTTTTTATCTGTTTGAAATGTTTCTTCTTAGAGGTGTAAGGACCTTATGATAGTTCAGAAGAAAAATATGATTTTTAAAACAGTTAGAAAAGTTTTTTAAGCATAATTACTGCCGTTTTAGAGTATATTTGCATGAACTTGTGTGTTTTTAATCCTGAGTGTGTGCGCTCAAGCTTCTATCTTGATGTCCAGGGGGACCCTGAAGTGCCACAGGGGGATCACAAGGGGGTTATGAGCATTCAGTGGTTTACATGGATCCTGATTCAACATTTTTTCCTCCCCGTTGAGTGGGTGTGTGCCAGTGGGGGGAGAGGAGGAGAAGGATTAAGGATGGAGGGCAGTGTGGGGGGGCCTGATGCGCCACCAAGGACAGTGGCCTGCTTGGGGGACATACTTCTTTATATGCCCATATGAACAAGAGCAACTATGGAATGTAAAGAAGTATGTATCCCAGGTTGGGAAAAATTACAGCGCTGCATCTGAACAAAAATCAAACAGTTAAACTTAAGTTTGCAGAAATAACGGAAACTCTTTGGAGAAGATGTTCTGTGTGCTTTATTCTATATCCTACATGCGCGGCTCGTGCATGTGCAGTGTGTTTTCAGCCCTGATGTGGCCCAATTGAGTCCAGTCAGCTTGGTGCTGCAGAGGGATGCATACAGTAGCAAACCATAGATGCAGCTGCAACTCCAGTCAGCACTTTCCACTCGCCCCGCAATAGATTTTTGGATATCTCTTTCACTCCTGTCTTTCCAGTTTGATTGCGGAATAATTTCCTAATGGCGGTGATTTCAAGAACACCTCCTGCTTACTTTGGATTACTTTTTTTGGTCATTTATCAAGCTTTTCTATCAAATAGTGTGAATTTGCTAC